GTTGTCTGAAGAGCATCTGGCCCCAAACCTGTGGAAAAGACCTTACTGTTTACTGGGCAACCCTTACCCCCTAGGCCGACACCTGAACTGCAAACCTAAATCTTTCAAAGCTTGTTAAGAGCCCTAAGGCTCAAGAATCTTAAGACCTTTTCCGTAGCGCATTTAAGCTTAGAGTCTTTCAAAGTTGTGCCCTGGTAACTAGTAGCCTCAGACAAAGGCCCGGAGCTCTCCGCACTCGCAACTGCGCATCGCAGCATTCCAATGCAACGTGTCGGGAGTCTTAAAGTGCAAGCCATCACTTAGCCAGTGGGCTTCCACGAATTATCCAAAGCTAGGAATCCCCCCAGCGGCCTCTTCAAGGATTTGTCTCATGTGATGCAGAACTACCTGAGATCTCTCTCTGTAAATCAACAACCCCACAACTAGAGGGCATCATCCAGAAAACCTCTTTTGCTGTAGGGATCCCAGCGGTGCAGCGAAAGGATCACTCGTACTCACCTGCATGATGCATGGGGGCGTTGATCCATAAATCGCGCATTCATCCTTATGGACATTACCACCTGAAGCAACCCTAAGACGAAACTGGCGAAAACCTAGAGTAACCCTCAATTGAAACCCTACCTACGTCAACAACCGAAGGCAACCCAAGAACATAACCCGCCATGGTAAATTGCTTTACACTAATTATCCCAGAAACCCTGATCTCAAGACCACCTGCGCGGTCCTTGATTTTGCCAAGCCATGTTGGCACTCGGAACAACGCACAAAGTCCTTTACCAAAACGAAAACAAATCCGCAGGCTCCATCCACCCGAAACTCTCAGACATTCACTTTTATCCCCACATCCCTCACGCTAAATTGCAACACAAAGCACTGGAAAACACCCTGCAAACTCTGAAAATCCCGGCTCAGCAACCCACTCGGACACTGATTTCCTGATCACGTCACCCTAATGATGAACCTCGCCCACTCCCCAGCATTCCCTAGTACAAAATGGTTCTGCATGTATAATAGATAGAGTCTGTCTCTTGGAGGGGAGGGGTGTTGCTAGCTTTGTCACTAGGGATGGCTCAATGAAGCTTGAAGGGTTGGGAGTTGCCATGGCTCTGAGAGACAAAAAGACCAGGGCCTAGGGTGTAGGGCTGGTGCATGTTTTCCGTGTTACGCTTCGAGGGCTTAGGGTACACGTAAGATGAACCCTGGAGCCTGAACCTATGGTTGTTCCTTAAGCTCCTGCGTGCCCCCATGTACTTTATTCACTGGGAATCATGTGCTTTAGCATCCTAAGGTCCCACGGGATGTAGTTTCAGTCGGAAACACACAGCCTTTCGAAAGAGCCACGGGGTGGCTGCGAGGCGCTCTATGATTCAGCTTCTGCTACCTTGCGCGGGTGAATATAGGGTCCTAATTTGCTGAACATGTCTGGGGTTTGGGGTTGTGGGCTTGAGATCTAGCATTTAGGTGTTAGGGCTGAGGAGTCTAGAACGGTCAAAATGTCAACGCATATAGAGAATACCAGGGGAACTAGGCTTATCTCGTGCTTGTATAAGGGGTCCAGGAGCTTATCAGAAATCATTACCAATGCCATGCTCCTTGACCTTCAGCCCCAAATGGTATGGCTTAGTAGTCCTGGCCTTGATTTACGGGATAGAACGCACTATGCCGTAGCGGTGTCCTCCAGTGACTAGAGCCGGTCCTCAAGCAATCCTGTCTCAATCCCACCCAATGCACCTCACTCAAGAGATCTCAGTAACAGTGATAGACACCCCAATATACCCCAATAATGGAGAATCAAATGAAACAGAACACATGGAACATGAAATGTAAACCCTCCTAGAATATGTGTTTTAGGATGTTCAGAACAACAGGTGCACTATGGCTAACACCTCCAGGGAGCGCTTCACGCTAGCCAAAATGACTGAAAAACCTAAATCGTCAAAACTTGGTCGTATTCCGAAATGCAAGCCTTGCTTTGTAAACAGCATTTCAGGATACTAACGGGTGATAAGGTGTGTTTTGCTCTACTTAGCTGGGACTTCTCATGCATCCTCCCCAGGGCTCACCCACATGAACCTGAAGTTCTGTAGTAAGCTGCAGGCAGTCCAGAAGATAAGATGCAGCCCCTTTTGAGGGTTTAGGGTTTAGGGTGAGCTAGATTTAGGGCTGAATAAACAGTTGCCTACTTGATGGGGGCCTGTTCCTAAGTCCCGAATACTCCTAACATTAGCCGGACTCCCGAACCACTAACATTAAATGTGTCCCCATGTAGCAGACTCTTTCAAAGAATGCTCAATATTTGGGGGCGGGAGGGGCGGTGTTTACTATCAGCGGGAAGTGATTGTATGACATACCCTGGTAGCCGTGCCTTTTTGAAGTTTTGCAATCTTTATAGGTCCTCGTTGTGGGATTCCGTGTTGCTTCCAGAGAGATTATGTAGACTCTCGGAATTCCCTGAGGCAGTCCTTAAACTCCTGAGCCCCTCTGTTGATACAAAACACTGCATAACTTCAGTATATCATAACCCAGAACTCCGAAGGTGTAAGGTACTTAGGTACATGTAGGACTTTTTGTACCCACCACATCACACGGCATTGGTTCTTGGGTAAATCATTACACTCCAGCCCTTCAACCCTCTTTTAAATGCCTCCCGGCCCATCATCCCTGAACCCTGAAGCCTTCAAATATGTTGGTCCAAATTTAGGATTTAGGGTTTAGGGTTTAGGGTTTAGAGTTGAATCCAAACCATTGTGACCCTCACCTACAACTCACAAGTCGCAGTTGCCTGCTCAGGCACATTGTCCGCGACTGGCTCCTGGCGTTCGGCATACTTTCCCTACTATTGGGTCAATACTATAATTCTTTAAAGTATTTGATATATACGGTTCTGTGGAATCACAAGTCATGTCCAGAAATGGCCGGTTTTAACCACTGCTCGCTATGGCATGATTCTCGGAATGCCAGGACAGTTGTCAGGCGATGCTTTGCAGGTATGACCAAGGTGGAACAAGCTCAGTTCTTCCTCTGAACGCCTGAACCATACACGCTGCATTCTAAGCCAAACCTGATTCGTAGTCACGTATTCTCCCATGGAGTTTAGGATTCGGGGTTTAGGGTCAACATAGGGAAACCCAGACCCCGTACCGCATGAAGTGCCCAGTTTGCATGTGAGGCAGTTTCCACCCATAAAGGCTCCTTAGCATGGACCCAGTGTACCCCAAGCCCTAAACAAGAAACTCTATGAACCGCAAGAACCCTAAACCCTGTAAACCCACAACAAACCTATAAAGCCAACAAAAACCCTATAAGCCAACAAAAACCCCTACAAGCCCTGTAGCCTATGATGGAGCATGCTGGGGCCAAGCCTCGCCAGCTTTCACCTCCTTGGGTGCCTCTGCTTCTTCACCTGGAGCCTCGAGGGTTTGGCAATACAGGGGGGGATGGCGTGGCATAGAAAAAAATAGAGAAGGGTTTTGGGGGGTATACCACACTACGGTTGCATAAGCATCATGAAGGATCATATGCTACTACCTCAACTGTTCAGAGTTTTTTGTTGCTCAGGGCGTAGGGCAGCGGCTTGAGGTTTAGGTCTCATGGTTCAGACCTTCGGGTCTATAGCCCTTTTCAAATTCACAGTAGTCCTTACAGAGCCCTTTGGGGGTTCCATGTTAGCGCGGGCTCCTGCAGATGGTTCTGAAGCACTTTCATGACTTTAAGGAATTGTAGCGTTATATCTGCAAGCGACGCCTTTGAGATCTGAACTTTGGGATGATGTTCTGTGCGGTCGGTTTCGGGGGCCCGGGGGGTTTGAAGATTTACGCAGAAGGGGTCCAAAAGTCACATGCGATTGTTCATGTGATTTGAGAGTTCCTTACCACAAAACCCAATCTGGACAACTCCTATTCAAACTCCGGTTTTTAGCCATTCCATCTCAACGTCAGCGTCCCCACCACGCCATCTTTCTCTGGCTTCTCCAGGTCTAGCACAATCACTTTCGCTGCCTCCTTCAGCCAAGGGATCGACCCCAACTACAGCACCCAAATCTGAAACCTGTGACACTGACACCGTGTCTGTGCTCTGCTTAACGTGATCTGTTTCCTTGAGGGCGACAGCATCGCCACCGGGGCCGTCCTCCACTTCAGATGACTTTGATTCAACTACACTTGCACAGCATAGGAACACCCTAACAAACATGGAGTCCGGCAGCCGTATAATACTAACTGGCGTACATTCCCCTACGACCCTCTGGCGGGATAGCAGGACAGTACCATCCTCGACCTGTGTCAAGACTCTAAGCAGCCCAACCCGCATACTTCTTGGGATATTGGCAGAAATGGAAACTACTATAGTATATTGAGGTTTTTATGGGGATAATGGAAAAGAAAATGGAAACTACTATGGGATTCTAGTAGATTCTAGAAAATGTCAACTACTATGGGGTTCTAGGGTCTCTTGCTGAAGGATAAGGTCTTACAGTGCCGAAGACTCCACTTTGAAGAGAGGTACATTGTTTGGTTGCCGTTTTATTTTCCATTACCCCCATATAGCCCCAATATACTATAGTAGTTTCCATTTACTTTTCCATTATCCCTGAAGTATGCGTCAACAGAATCACTCCCGCAAGTGACTTTCCGGCCATGGTAGAGCTATTCACCTTCCTGCACTCCGCTCCACCAGGAATTAAAGGACTTGCTGTTATAGCCATACTCATGGTAATTTCCTGAAATAGGGGGCCCCAATATAGATGCCCAAATGCTATGTTCAACAATATCGGAGCTCCTAATATGGCACCCTTAAACCCCGTATATCCACAAAAGGAGCTCTAAAATCCAAACACTGCACCCTTCATGTCCTGCTTAGCAATGCCCGCCTCAAACCTTGCATCCAAAAGCCCGAACCCTTTTAAACCCTCAAGACCAACCCCTAAACTTGAAACCCTGAACCCCTAAACCCCGAACCCCTAAACCCTAAACACCAAAGCAGGGAGAGCGGAGAGCCCTTACCTCGGATTGTTCTGCTTGCGCAGCATCGAGAACCTCTTCCGATGCCACGTCCGCAACTTTTGCAGATACCTGGAGGCCGTGGGCTTTGGTCTTATTTCGGGTCTAGGAATGGCACAGGGTTATATGGGGATAATGGAAAAGAAATGGAAACTACTAGTATATACAGGGGTTATAGAAGGATAGTGGAAAAAAAAGGAAACTACCATTTAGGGTTTATAGGGTTTTAGGCATACCGCCCCCCAGCGATGGAAAGTAAGTGGACAAAACCATGGAACATGAAATGGAGACGGGGTTTATGTACGGGGCTCCATCAAGGAATTATGTAACGCGTTTGCCTAGTTCAGTACCAATGTGACGTCGAGGTCTTCAATTTGAGACGCCTCGTACTATAGTGTGTACAACATTTATTCAAATAGGATATAGGCTTCTACATCATGGGGTGTAGTGTATAGTAGGTTTCGGAGTTTAAGGATTTTGGGCTGGGGTTCGGGGATTGAGGCCTAGACGTTTAGGGTTTAGAGTTTGCTGGCACCCTGAATCCTGAACCCTCAAGCCCCACACCCCCAAACCCTAAACCATCAACCCTAAGGAACCTCTACACTTTGAAGCGCATGCCCTTGGGGTCATGGCCCAACAAGCAAGAGAGACATGAGCCACAAACCTGGAGAAAGGAGCCCAACGAGGCCCAGTATCCAGTTGGTTTTGAGGTCTAAGTTTAGCGTAGTGGGATTAGGCTTTACAGTTAGAGGTTCCAAGTACCCCATTCAGTTTAGCACTTAGGGTTGGGGGCTCCATGATCAGGGATTAGTGTTCAGTGACTTTAGTGTTCAGGGATGGCTGTTTGGACCAATATAGACGCCCAAATGCTATGATCATGCATATGGGAGCCCCTAAAATGGCACCCCTAATCCCCTTACATCCACCAAAGAAGCTCCAGCTCCAGTACCCAAACACCGCACCCTTCATCTCCTACTTGAATGCCCGCCTCACGCCTTGCATCCGAAACCCTGAACCCTTCTCAACCCCCAAGCCCACCCCCTAAACCCCAAACCCTGAACGCCTAAACCCTAAACACCAAAGCAGGGAGAGCCCTTACCTCGGATTGTTCTGCTTGCGCAGCATCGAGAACCTCTTCCGATGCCACGTCCGCAGCTTTTGCAGATTCCTGGAGGCCGTGGGCTTTGGTCTTATTTCGGTTTAGGAATTACACAGGGTTATATGGGGATAATGGAAAAGAAATGGAAACTACCATTTAGGGTTTAGGGTTTTAGGCATACCGCCTCCCCACCGATGGAAAGTAAGTGAACAAAACCATGGAACATGAAATGGAGACTGGGTCTATGTACGGGGCTCCATAAAGGAATTATGTAGCGTGTTTGCCTGGGTCATTACCAATGTCACGTCGAGGTCTTCAATTTGAGACGCCTCGTACTATAATGTGTACAACATTTATTCAAATAGGATATAGGCTTCTACATCATGGGGTGTAGTGTATAGTAGGTTTCGGAATTTAAGGATTTTGGGCTGGGGTTCGGGGATTGAGGTTTAGCCGTTTAGGGTTTAGAGTTTGCTGGCAACCCCCTCAACCCTGAACCCTCAAGCCCCACACCACCAAACCCTAAACCATCAACCCTAA